TTTTAATGTATTGTACAATATTGTAATTTACTATAAATCAGAATTTAAAATTGATACAAATAACTGACAACTTATGCAACATTTTTGCAAACTGTTTGAGATATTCAGATATTCTATACAATTAAAAAACATTGAGAAATGTATAATATGTACCTACATAAGTTAAGTTTGAAGAAATAAAAATTGAATTAATTGTATAGTATACTGAAATTATGACAGATTTAAAAATAATAACTAAATTTATTGTTGTAAGAATGTGTATATAAATATAGGTATAACACGACTTATTTTCATTAAATCGTACTTAACTTGATAATAAAATTGCTAATGTCATAGTTGTTTTCGTAATAATAGAATAAAATATTACGTAAACCCATTTTATTGCATTATTTGAATTCAATAGTGTTATCCAAATCAGTTTACTATATTTTAAATTCCATTCATTCAAAGATGTGTTACAATAACTCTAGAACTTTCTTTTACTTGGAAATTCATCAGGTTTTAGCCATAGAATTGTATTATTGCATAATCGTTTAAGCAAAAACAAAAAAACGAAATAGAAACCATTCTGTTTTTTCTTTAGTCAACTAATAACTATTCCGGTTTATTAAGCGAAATGCAAATGTTATTCCAGTCGCGTAAACATAATATGAAGCTTTAAACCTTTCACTGATCGATTTTGACAAACAAAATCTCCATGTAAGATAAACATATGTGATATGATGTATAGGTTGTTGTTCGTTAACATKTTAGTATCGCCGAATCGTTTTGTTTTTCTTATTATAGAAAGTACCTCATAATAGTAAGATATACCACCATCCACAACACTTTTGTTATACAAATTTGCATCACATAATTAATGGTCTGTTAAACTCCTACGCTGAACGGTGATAGATAAAAATTGAAAAAATTGTAAATGCAATATTATTTTTATGGCAAGACGAATTTATTCTAGAAAACTATCTATTTTTACTTATAGTTGCTTACAAATTCATAAGCTAAAACAATTTTTTTAATATTAATATTTTATTTTAATTAAAATTTATTTATTATTAATTATTCAATTTACAAAAATTATATTATAAGTATGCTTTTGGTTTGTTTCTTATATTATAAAAATCTATATTATGTAAATTAAACATATTCAGTAGGTATGAATAACTATCATTATACAATTTTTGTTTTTAATTAAACTTTCTATTTGTGAWGTTGATTTTTTTTAGTYTTTACATARGTAAACGTTAATTATATTACACTACTAAAATAATACCTATAATCTATATACCTGCYTATCTAACTTAACTCGGATAACATATATCATTCAATCTCTATAATCAATCATCTCGCGTGAATTTGAGACATCGTATTTTAATATTATTTATTTTCATCGAAGAACTCATTAACATACTTAATTTAATGCTATAAAGTATAAAAAATTGTTRCATATTCAGTAATACTTTCGGACTTTCTTCTTTCAAATTGACTTAGTTATTTATGCAATTAATTGGAACTACCAACTACTGTCTTGTGCGTAATATAGATAAACGTTTCATATTTTATTTTTCATGCATTATTAATATTTTATTTTTCAATTATCATTACCACTTTAAGTATCATTTAAGTTTTCTAATTACTTTAATCTCACTATTTACTATTGACTTATATTCTCGAATAATATTGCTTCCCTAAAACTTGTTTTTTATTTCATACTGTAAGTTTAATATAACATGTATATTTTTCAGTATACATTTTCTTGGCTTATCATAAAGTCATTAATGCATTGTCAATCAACGTATTTATTTATGTTGAGAAGAAGTTATTATTTWTATTTATTTCTTTATAGAGTTAAGTTAATTCAAGTTGTCTTCGTTTTACTAACTTACTTCATACCAAATTTGTGGTCAACAAAACTAATTTTTATTGTTAAAGCATTAATTTTATAATGAATTATCTGACCTATTATCAAAATTTAAGTTGGAATCAGTAAACTAATTTAAAAACCTTAATTAATTAACTTTATAATATTGTGAAAACATTGTAAAAGTATTGTAAAAATACTTGGTGTATTGAAACAATTATATTAATAAATAAATAAAAAGTTGGGAACGTTACCTCAAATAAGTCGTATTTGTAAGAATTTATTATACGTAAGAATTTTATAATATTATAATTTTATTGATGAACTKATGAGTAAGTAAAATTGAATAATAATTTAAAATAACCATCACTCACTAAAAAAATGAAATATTGTAACAATCAACGCATGTAAGACCAAAACAAAACATTTRGCTGTGCCTAAAATATTACTTTTAACTAAACTAAGCCACCAAGGCATAATCTACATCACAAGTAGGTACTCGAATATTAGTTTTAAAATTATGTGTTCATGGAACGCATATAATTAGTAGAATTGTTTTTACTACACGTGTTACAATACCAAAATTAATCAATAAAAAATGTCACTTTGTCCCATATTTTAGTGAAAGTTGCTAAGAAAATTGCTCAAAATAAACAAATTAGGTTTACATTTTACTGATTATAGAATACCCTAATATTTAAGAGCTTCTGCAATAATAGATTTTAATTAAAATACTGTAATAGATGTTTTAGAGATTTTGGATGTTTTTAAAATATACTCATGTTTTCTTTATAGTAAAATATACTCAAATAAAACAAAAAAATCAATGAGTGTCCTCAGTGGGTGATTTATATCTCCAAGGTTTGTACAGTTATTTAAATATGTATTTCCTTTTAATGTATA